CATTTGGCAAGAATAACGTAAAAAGATAATTATTATTTACTTTATTACAATTTATTTGCTACAGTGTTAAAAGAAATTTGTGCAGCACAACGTAAACGGTTAAGTTTACGTTGTGCTGCAATTTTATCGTCTTTCGACTACAAAATTGTTTAAAAGGATTCTCAATTATAAATTACAATATTTGAAATATGGCACAAAAAATCAGGAATTATTTAAATAATTTAAAATCAGTTATTTTCTTATTACATGAAGTGTTTAATTTTCGTATGCTTTGAATTCGTGTTTCATTTGACTAGTTGGTTTTATTTAATCAAAAGAGATTGTATTTATTTAGGTTAAGTGGAGTAGCGCTGAGGAGGCTTCGCCTTTTTAATTTATATTTAAAAGCGTTGGTCTTTACTGTTTTATTATTAAAAATAAATGCATAATTTTAAAAGTATGCATATTGCATATATACTATTTGCTGCGGATATATTTAATGAAATATACGTTTTCAGGGGCGTTTTTCTAAAAGTGGGGGTTGTGTTTGCCATATAGTCTAGTGACAATTTAGCAAGTTATGATGAAAGCAAAAAAATTGGAAATACCTCCTGGTATCGGACAGTGGATTTTACGTAGCTCCGTATTATGTGACACGAACAGGAAGAAGGTTTAAACAATACAAATTATAATTATAATAAAAAAGGGGGATTCGTATAGCATAAGTACATTATTTTATATAATTGAAATGGCATTAACTTCACCAAATTTTAACGTGGCGTCATTTAGTGTTGGTGGAGATTACCAGATACATTTTGGTTAGCGTTTTACCATCTACACGATATTCCTAACAAAAATCACGGAATGGGATTATTTGGCGCGGCCGACTTGGCGCGAGCCATTTTGGCGCAGGGCCAACTTGGCGCAGGGACACTTTGGCGCAAGCAATCTTGGCGCGAGTACGTCGGTATATAATATAAAAAATATTAATTTTTTGTATCGTGGTTTGCACCCTGTTATTTATGCTAAGTGTAGGCAACCAAATACACAGTTTCATTCGCACAAATTCCAATAACTAAATGATCCACGGAGCAAGAAGTTCCACGTTTAGGAGTATGTTTATAATGGGGTGCAGGGCGCGAAGCGCCCGTGTGTCCATTAAAAAGTCGACATTACCCCTCCACGCATTGGAGACCATAAAAATTAGGTTATGCTAACAATGGGTACAATTTTTGTATAATTATATCAATTTTTCTTGGTGCGAGTTCATTCGCGCCAAGATGGTCCACGCCAAGATGGCTTGCGCCAAAGTGTCCCTGCGCCAAGTTGGCTTTGCGCCAAAATGTCTCGCGCCAAGTCGGCCGCGCCAAGTTGGCCGCGCCAAGTCGGCCGCGCCGAATTGTCCTAGACCGCAAAAATCAACATAGATAGTAGGTAGACGACGAACGGCCAACGACATACAGATACACAGACGGAAACGGGAGATCTACTTTTTTATATTTTAAGGGTCATGTAAGGAAGTAATGAAGCAAATTTTCAAAACCGTCAGTATTAAACAGTGAATTTTCAAAATTAATATTTAAAATACAACAAAATTAAACCAAATGGAATGAAGGAAAACGTTAAATTTCAAAATTTTGGAAACTTCTGAAAAACTTGAGAAGAAATTCCACAGTTGAAAAATTAAGATCGTCCAAAAAAAATACGGAAGTCCCAAAATATTAAACCAAAAAAAATCAGTTTTGTACAAAGTCCAATTTCAAACATTTTCGCTGTAAATATTCAAAATTAATATTCACAATAAAATAAAATTAAACAGTGGAAGAAAATCTAGAATTGGAATATTTCGAGAACCTTGAGAAGAAATTCTACAGTTGACAAATTAAAATCTTAGAAAAAAAATCTCAAAGTCTCCAAATATTTAACCAAACAAATCTGTTTTGTACAAAATCCAATTTCCAAGCTCTCCCAAGTAACTTTACATAAATAATATTTTACAATACAACACGAATAAATCAAACACAGTGAAAGTGAACATAGAATTTGAAAATTTTTAGAACCTCTAAAAAACTTGAAAAGAAAAATGCTACAGTTGAAAAATTAAGATTCTTCGAAAAAATCGAAAGTCCCAAAATATTAAATCAAAGAAATCTGTTTAATTTCAAACATTTTGTTTGGAAATTTTCAAAATTAATATTCACAACAAAAGAAAATTAAACAGTGAAAGAGAACCTAGAATTTCCGAAAAACTTGAAACGAAATTCCATGTTCGAAAATTTAAAATTCTTAAAATAATCTAGAAGTTCCAAAATATGAAACCAAATAAATTTGTTTGAACGAAATCGAATTCCAACACTATCCTCAGTAAATTTTCAAAATTAATATTTACAATACAACAAAATCAAACCAAATACTGTGAAGAAAAACCAAAAATTTCAAAATCTCGGGAACTTCTGAAGAACTTGAGAAGAAATTTCACGGTTGAAAAACTAAGAATCTTCGAAAAAATCTAGAAGTTCCAACATATTAATCAAAAAAATCTGTTTTGTTCCACGTCCAATTACAAACATTTTCTCTGTGAATTTTCAAAATTAATATTCACAATAAACAATATTAAACAGTGAAAGAAAACCTAGAACTTCAAAATTTCTAGAATTTCTGAAAAACTTAAAAAAAAATTCTGTTTGAAAATTTAAAATTTTTAGAATAATCTAGAAGTTCGAAAATTTAAAACCAAACAAACCTGTTTTGAACGAAATCCAGTTTCAAAACTCTGCTCATTATACTCTACGATAATTTCTAAAAAGTCAAGTGCTTTTTTAAGCTAGTAATCAAATGACTGACGTTTTCAATCAAGAATCAATACTTTAAATTTGCGTTCAAATTTGTATATCCAGATCCAGAATTAATTTAAGCATGGAACCAAATATTCACAATTGTTGGTTTATTATTGTTTATTAGCGGAATAAATAAGAGAAAAACAGGGTTCCCGATTCCGTCTGTTTGGCGTTTCTCTGTCGTCTATCTGTCTGTCGTCTGTCTGTATCGATTTGTTAGACAGATAATATAATTTACGAAACTACTGGATGGATTCTGTTAAGCTTTATATCCATATTTGTTTTAGATGGTAAACCATCGACCAAAATATGTTTAATAATCCGCAGCAATACCTTGATGATGTCATCACAAATTTTTCATAACAAATAAATACCATTTGAATAATTTATGGATTGCTTATTCCAGTACTTGTGGTTTACGAATTCGGCTTGAGTTTTTCTCCTAGGCATCCAGATTTTCCCAAAAAAATTCAAATTTAATGACAAACTTTTATAAGCGGACCGCTTACGAACGCTAAACAGATTTTAACTAATCATCCCCATCAGCAATATGATGACGTCACCTCAAAATCGTACATAGTAGATGGGTTTTAAATTGTATAAAATAAGACTCCCAGACGTGTAGTTTAATACTCATGTGAGTTTTACGCGAGACATCCAGATTTAAAAAAAAATCAGAATTACAGAACAATATTTTGCAATTTAATTTTGAATTTGCAAAATCGAATGCTTTGAAATTTTACAGACGGTTACTTACAAGGAAAATAATCTCGCAAATATTTTTATCAAAGTTCCAATGGTACTTGATATTTTAATAGAGAACATCCTGTTGAAGTTTAAGGAGAAATTGGAGTAGAATTCTTTTCATAGTGTAAAGAGACCCTTGAAATTTGCAATCGGTCCAGTACTTTCGGAGATTATCTGTCTAATAAAAATCCGGGACGGCAGACAGACGGACAGACGGACGGACAGACGGACAGACGGACGGACAGACGGACAGACGGACAGACGGACAGACGGACAGACGGACAGACGGACAGACAGACGGAAATGGGAGACCTATTTCTTCGTCTTCTAGGGGTCATGAAAGATCGAGAAAACGTAAAAGTAGAGAGTCGACCGACGGACTCGATTACAATACTTCCTTTGCTTACGCTCGGGAAGTAAAAAGAGAAAACATTTATTTATTGAGTGTAAGTTAAATAAGTATTATAAAAAAGAACTCGTACTTTTGATGATTTCATAAGTTGATATTTTTTCCAAGTTCATAGCCTGTAGAATACGAACATGTCGGTCTTCCATTTTCGTCTGTCGATCGTCTATTGACTTAATTAGATTTTTTCTTTTAAATGTTTTAAATTTAAATAGAAAACGACAGAATTATGCCGGGTAGGCCAGTTTAAGCCAGTTTTGAGTATTTTTTCAGATTTGTTGATGCCTTTTTATGGCAATGCGGAGTAAATATAACATCACCGAAAAGTAGATTTCTTTCTAACTGTTAGTAACTAGTGAATTTAATTTGTGCTTTCGATGAATAATAAAAACACCTTTTGTTTTGCAGCAGGAAGTGTTCTCAAATTTTTAGCAATATTACAGACATTAGAACTAACTTAAACTTCACCAAAAAGTTAATCAATTACATTACGAGGGATGGTAGAAAAAACTGGTCTGGTTGTTTGTTATACAGATTTCTTTAACTAACGCTTCAGTGAGTGAAGGAAGAAATATCTAAACTTTTTAGACCAACTTTTTCTTACGTGGTTGGTCTAATAGCAGTATAAATTCTCTCTATAATCTCACAAATTGTCGCCACGCCGCTGCATCAGGTCATTAGGTTAATGGTGGAATGATCGCAAACTTAATTACTTTCATTCTTCAACATAAAATTAAATACACTGCATCCTATGAAAACTTTAAGTAGCCAAACAGCACCTGGCGTCGCTGACAATATCTTATTGTTCAATAACCAACAACCATTCAAATATGTACGCGCTCAAGCAGTAAACTTTTATTAACAAGGTATCAATTATTACCCAAGCGATGTAAGTACCGACCAACTCTACGCGGTCTTTAGGTTCTCCATGTCGCCGTAGTAATGACCTCCTCGACTGCCGGTCACCGCTCGCCCCATCCACTGCTTCATCACCAGGTGAAATAAAGCGCTGCTCGGACTAGCACGAAATGTCGATTGTATAACGCTACCAAAGGTGTGTTGTGGTTTAAGAAGTAGGTGGGATAGAGTCAAACTTGAGGCTCGTATCCATTTTCTTCGACCAACCTGTTTGGTATTGACCATAAGCGAACTCAGTCCGCGCGCTGTTCGCTGTAAAAGTTTTAAATCCGGGCGGTCCGGTGTCGAGTGTTTAAAAGTTAAATGTTCAAATTATAGACTGTTATCAGCGCCAAAATGTAAGTTTTTCGTTTTTTCTAATGTCTGACTTGTGTTCACCATCTTTACCATGTGATGATGGGTGTTGACTGGGTAAACCGTGGCTGCAATTGCAAACACGCCTCCGGATTAAGTCAACTTTATTTTTAAACGGTCGTTGTTCAAATCGATGCGGAGGTAACGTTTTTCACTACTTGTGTTTCTCTTCGGTTTATTGAAGTTTTTACTGATTGGAGAGGAATTCGTAACCGTGGTTAACGGTTTGTGGTAACCGCATTGCAAATGGCTTTTTTATGTTGTCGCACAGAACTGTACAACAAAATGTGAAATACAAAAGTGATCAGGGAAACTATTGAAAATATTATGACGCAAAATTCGACACGAGTATTAAAAGTGATTAACAAGATATGTGTAAACACTAACAATGGGTACTTATAAATGAACCTGTAAACAATGCGCGGATTGCATTACATGAAACAAATTTTTCGCTGCAAATAATTTAAATTAAAATTTTGTGGTGAAGTTCATTCACCCATGATGGGTCTGCTATCTTGTCAAGTTCGTTGGGTTGGGGGGTCATCAAAGTAATCGCGCAACTTTTATATTTGTAGTTCCTGCAAGTAAAATTGTCGTTTTTCCATTTTGTCTTTCATTGTATTTAAATTTAAAAGAAACGCGACTTGTATATCTATACTTTTTAACGATTTATTATTATTATTTTTAAATACGTGTGCTATATTTTTATCATTTAAAATGGCTTTTGATTTTTGATACTAAGTTATTAGAACGTTGGTGGTGAAGTATTTGTCACTATAAAAAATAAAGTATTTAGTTAGTTCTTTAGTGCTTGGTTCATCGAAATGCATTGGTTGTGTAATTGCTACTTTCTTTAGTAACTAACAACCATTAGTCAAACTTAACCAGAGATAACAAACGTAACTCTTATAGAGAGCAAACAGATTCTCGTTAAATCACTTATTAAGTACGTTGGTCAACTTTCGGTTTTACCAAATTTAATTTAATTTTTTTACATGACATACATGCATAATTAAAATAGTCAGTTTTAATTTTTTTCATTATTCTTGGCCGCACTTCTACACCTCAACTTTCAAATTTTGTTTCTATTATATAACTGGTCAAATTTTACAAATATTGGGATGTAATGTTTTTAATTGCTAGATGTTTTAAAATACTTTGGACCTCATCATAAACCTTTTTTTTTGAGAAATCATTTAACAGATGATAACAATGCAAAAAAGAAGTAAGTCTCCGCTTTGAAAAAAAGTAGTAGCAGTGAACACCCAGAATACTTTCTTTCTATTTGGGGAAGGAAAACATTAGTTACGTTTAAATTGTAATTTTAAAGTTAATGTTGTTAGAAAGTGTTCCATCATTATACATTTTTTTATAGAATTTTTGTGTAGTGACACATATTGTATTTAATTTAAAATTTGACGAAAACCTTTTCACATACCTGAATGCTCCAAAAATACTAGTTTGGGCACTCTAATCCTTTTTCACACAAAAATAAATAAAATGTAAGTGTAATAGTGCAATAAAAAAGAAATGGGAGTTCAAAATGAAGAGAGTTAGCTCAAATACATACTGCTTTAGCAAAAATTTGCTTACTCAAACTTTTTTGGAGTGAATTTCGACCTTATTTTAATTTAATTCGTAGGCCTGACCCCATTGTTTGCTAGAGCAATAATGGTTTGTGCATGAGGCAATTAACGTCCAGAAAAACGTTTTGATTGTGTTTTAATTGTGACCCTGGCGTTACCATGACCTTCACCATACACGAAATGCATGTCCGCATACTCTCTAATCCTACATTCTCATCACATTTAACAGTAAAGTTGTGTAGTGCTAGGTGATTGTTGTGCAACTAACTAACCAAAAATACGCTTTGCTTTTGAGTGATTTTGGTGAGTAAGTGCTGGAGTTGAAGCTGAATTTTTACTCACATGCGATGACACCATTATCTGGTAAATTATGTTTGGGATTAGACCACAAAAATTATTTATGAAAGCCACTGTTTTGTTATTTTATTAAAATCACTTTAAAAATAGTAAACCAAGTTTTTGAAAAAGGAAAATAGTTCAAATTTCGTCTTTTTTTTTTGCTTTAAAAATATAATTTTTAAATTTTTCAAAGTAAACTTTAGGTTACATTTTTTTATATCTTTAAAATTCTTCGGTAGAATTACCTGTATCCTGATACTTTGTCGTTAATGATAAATCAAAATTTATGAATTCACACTACATTAATTTTACGCTGCAATAAGAACTGAATTAGGTTCCACTATGGGTCATTAAAATGAAAGATGGTTCAAGGAGAGACACCAATTACTGTATAATTTGTCTTGCTTTTTTGGACTTTACTGTCTCATGTGTTCATGAATAAGTAATGTAATATTCATAATGAGCATTATTAGAGCAAACCTTTTTTTAACGTTTTTAAGTGTATGCATTTCTTGCTAGCAAACTTTTCCTGTAATAATTGTAATATTCGACAACACCAGTAAACTTCCCTCAGATGTGTTTTTAAACCTTGAAATAAAATGTTTTTTTAATAGTATTTTTATTATTTCTGTTGATTCTGTGGTGAGCATGGTTTTTACATTTCAAAGATTCATTTTTATTTTTAGAAAGGAATTTAATTAGTTTTTATACTTGTGCAGTAGTGTTTTAAATATGTATTTAATTAAATTCGTGCTTTGAGTTACGTATATATTTTCACACTTTGTTGTACCAGGGCGTACTTACATTGTAGTCTAGTAGTATTTGTTTTTCTTGTTTAGATTAGCAGCTTGTTACAATTGCAACCGTTTTCACACTTCCGTGAATCACTCTGATGACTAACAAATAATAGCTATGTTTAAGTCTAAACTTACTAATAATTTTTACGATGATTTTACTGTCCCGGTTATAAAACGATGAATGCAGACATTCTCCGAATGGAAGTGAGAGCATTTTCATTTTTTATGAACAAGCTATGCTTATACAAAGATCTATTAATGTGAATTTAGGTTTGTCTCTAGGGCTTTTTCTGTCTCCATTCTTGTCAAACCTGGTAAATTCTACTTTTCTTTTGAATTAAGTTGGTACAATAAAAAAAACTTATACGGTGTTATTTTACGCCCGTTTTTTAACAGTTTGGAAAACAGCGCGTCAATCCAAAATGTATTAATTTTTGAAAGAACAAGAAATGCACCAAAAAAATGGAAATTGCACTTATTAACTCCTACCACCTGATTTTGGCACTGGGGCCAGCCATTGCTGGAAGAAAAATGCATGAACACTTAATGACAGCATTTTCGGTACTAAAATATTGTGTACGTAATATTTATTAATTAACTTACATTAAATTAGGCTTCCGAGTCTATTGTGAGAACAATTTTGAAGTGGATCATCAGGGGGTTTTACAAGAAGGGATTGTAATCCAGTTGATACCCAATGTAATATGTTCTCCAAATCTTTCAAAGAGTTCTAAAATAGTCTTCAAGCCTTCAAAAAAAAGTCATTCAGGAAGTTACAAAGAAGCATTGATATGCTTAGACTTCCACATTACCTGTAAATACAACGCTGTTGATGACAAAGTTCGAGTATCGCACTTGTGGTTAGAAATTTGGGACACTTGTGATTTCCAAATGTGGAAAAATAGCAAAATAGCATCGTGAAGAATTAATTCAGGCAGACTGGCACGAGGAAATGGCCAATTTTCACCTGGATAGTATTCCACCTGAAATAATATCTCTGGCAAACTCAGATACAGATGAAACAGATGATGGAGACGTAATTGAAACTGTTGTCGATTCAGCAGAAGACGATGCTGACGATATTTCTGTGGAACTTCCTGAAAGAGGGAATAGTTTACAGTGCAAGTTATTAACTTACAATTTTTTTCTCGTTTGTATTATAATTTTATTTTTTGTTTTGTAATAACCCGTTGAAAACATCTGTTCCTCCTCAAATAACCTCTAAAATTATTTGTCAAAAAATGTCAGCAAAACTCAAACCAAGTCTGTGTATTGCCAATAGTATTTTTCGAGGAAATTGAGATGTTGGGAAGTTTTTAATAAAAAAACAAATTAGAAGAAGATAATTTAATTAGACAGTCAAGTGAAACTAATTTATTGACACGCTGAAGGATATGTATATTGATATTATAGCAATTCTTGTCAAAAATAAATTTCTCAATGTAGCCGAAGGGGATAGATCTAAATATATCACATAGAAATAGCTACATAGTCTTCATCAGGAGACATAAATTTCACTACGTGGTGGGCACTACAGCCTTTGGAAAACACCGTGAGACCACAGCAACTGTCTAGACCCTAGACCTTCCGGCAGCAGTATTTTAAACATACGGAAAAACTAAAGATAAGTCTTCAAACCAGCATGATAAAGTCGATGATTTTTAAAAGTCCCGTTGCCTAATAAGGTTCAATGTTTGTTATTCGAACAAAACATTTAATCTGTACTAACAGCTGATTGGGCTATTTGTACCTCTTTATTTGTGGGTGTTTCAGAAAACATAGTCCTGGCTAGATAAAGCGGCGGGGCTGTAGGGTGTAGGGTCGGATTTATCTCTTGTTAAAAATGTCCATAAGAAAGACTTTGGCAACTACAGTCAGTTTCCTAAAAAGCACAGATGTATCTAGTGTAGCAATATGTTATTGGACTTTATCAAAAGGATGGAGGGGGTAACACACGATAGTCCAAGAGATTTCCGATACAGCTTTATTTTTAGAGCCCCCCTTCCCATAAAAAGAAAATCTAAAGTCTTATTTTGTTGTTTACATAGAAAAGACATAATGGACTGAAGTCTTTCTGGAATAATTAGAGGTACAGCTTTGAAATGTGAAAACCATGACATATAGGTAAAAATTTTAAATGGTATGCAGAGTCAAGTAACCCCTCTTTTTAGACCTTATTGTACTGTCAACGGTTATTGGATTTCGTGTTAATTTTCCTGGTTTGTGTATGCACGTAAAACTACACTTAATGGTAATTTTTTA